ATTTCGAATACTGTACATTTCCAATACTTCTATCAAGTGTACTTTAACTTAAAGGCATAATTCACCCAAAACTGACGATTCTACCATAATTTACTCACCCACTTTTTTCGTCTGTGGAAAACAAAAGATAATTATTTGAAGAATGTTTTAACTGCCCATACAATGGAAGTCAATGGGGTCCAAAACAACACTCTACCCCACTGACTTTCACCATATGTGTTCTGCAGAAGAAAGAAATGCATACATGTTTGGGTTAACTATCCCTAAGTGCATTCTTATCATGCATTTTATTATATTTTATAATATAATTTATTCCTGTGATGTCAAAGCTGAATTTTCAGCAGCCATTACTCCAGTCCTCAGTGTTGCATGATCCTTCAGAAATCATTTTAATATGCTAGTTCACTGAAGAAACATTTATTTTTATTAGCAATGTTGAAAAGTGTGCTGCTTCATATTTCTGTGAAAACTGTGATGCGGCTGAATTGAAAATTCTAAAGAACAGCATTTATTTGAGAATTATAAACTATATGTTAATAACAGTAATAATTGCTTTCAAACAATAAATATTAACACAAACTTTGAATGATATAGTGTATATAAAGGATTCATTGGATCTAAACCAACACAATCAAGATTGTACAGAACTAACAACCCAAAAAAGAAAATCCACTTTAAATCCTCGGACTGGTAAATTTAGACATAGACGTGGTAGTCATATAACTGTTTCTGTGTTATATTCCTCGCAATAGAACTTAATCAGCACAGTATGTGCTTATGACTCAAGCTCTCTGTGTTAACAATGGCTCTTTTGTGTATCGGTTGGTTAATGAGGCCAGGCATAGCTGGACCATGATGTGCGTGATGATCTCTTGTGTTGCTGTTGTCTGTGTAAGTTGCCTTACTGTCTGTCAACTCCCTGAGAATCTGGAGTTTACAAGCTGCATCGTGAATCTGAAGGGATAACAGTCAAAACTGACAGCCCACACACGCTCCTGATAAACATGTACTTGTGCATGCAGAGAAATACACAAACACACACATCCTTAATGGGAAACATTCTGATCTGACCGTGGTCTTGTCCACCCTGAACCAGATGTGCATGCCGAAAATAAATTAATCATCCTAACGTAACCTGCATCATTTAATATCATAAGAATCCAGTGTTTCTTGTATATTGACATTGGGGTAGGGTTAGGGGTTGTGTTTGGTGTAGGCATTCATCACCGTGATTGACGTGACCAATGAAATGTTTAGCATCAGCTGCGTGGGTGGAGTTTTCGCTGAACTGGTTTGGGAAAAACAACCGGGAGCGATAAAGGCTACACAGTTCCGGGTCCCACGTGTTTATTTCCCACGTACATATAGTGTGAGCAGTCAAGTCGCAGCTCAACGATTGAACCGTATAGTGTGAGCACATAAATCCTGAGCTTTGGATTTACTCATACAGTGAGAGTTGGTATTTAACAAAAACGTTGCTGAAATCACATAGTCTATGCCCAGCTTTAGATGCTGCACTGCTGCATGATTCATCACGATCACATACAAAACAACTCGATATCTTATGTCCACAAAGTAATTTGTGTATGCCGCACCGATGTTTTTGCACATTATTTATCTTTGTTGGTCCTTATGTCTTCTGGCTTCAGACCATTTCTGCTTCTTCACTCGTACATGTGATTCTCCAGTTGTCTCTCCTGGTAAAGCACAATAATAAGTTGTGGCAGCCAGTGAATGAAGGGATTCTCTCCTAAGTTTAGTAAAACTCCACGCCTAACATCATTTCAATATGGCGAAATACTGAGGGGGAGGTGAATTCAACTTTTTATAGAAAACTAATGTAAGTACAGAATTCATCTCAGTGAGAGTACACTCTTCACAAAAATACAATTTATTTATTAATGTGTAAAACCTTTTTAAATTAGAGGTGCGTTCACGCCATATCATAAAAATCATTTTGTAAAAAGCGTTCACATCCTCGTAGAACTCGTAATAACAACTTGTGAACTGGGAGTTTTCTCTTGTACCAGCTGACCACCTCATTCATTAGGCGCTATGTTTAGGCCTTGATAGTGCGATCCAAGGGTGTGAACAGCTCCAAGTCGATTTGACATCTCAATATGACGATATGGCATGAATGCAGCATAGCACTAAACTACTGAATGCACCTTTAATGAGATATTTAGTATTATTTATTTTACTTTAATTCTGTATTTACAGCTTATTTCTTGTCTGAATTTCATAGGAGGCATTGCCTTTTGCCTCACTTCAAACTCATTATTGCTATTTATTTTTTAAGAATCCAGCCATACGATTTTAACAAATAACTGGGAGTGAAAGAGTGATCACCAGTGCCAAAATATACATTTAACCTCTAGAATAATTCCTATTTAGACCTGGCTAATTCAAAAGATCTCTTTGCATTGAGACACATATTTGAGTGTGTTGAATAAGTGCTGCAAGGAGTGAGATAGAGGCTTCCTCTGGTGAAGGACTTCTCATTATCACAATGTGAAGAGCATAAAATTATTACCATTTATTGTTTTTTTATGAACACATCTGAATAAGCTGAATGGCGAGTAGCTGGCAGATATAACCAGTGTGCTGAAATGCCAATAACACTAAAGATAAATCTAAGACATGTATGAACGTAATAAATCACCACTGCCACAGGTGTCATGTATATAGAATGTCTCATTCAAAGAATCGGAGGACAACAAAGGGCCTTCCTGACTTTGAGTTGTTATATCTATGACCCACCCAAGAGCTCATCATTTTGGTCCCCCACCCCTGTTGTGTTAAACGTGTCACAAAGTTATGCATCACTGATGCCCCGTCAGCCCCTCTGCAGGTGTCTTGTCACACCTTCTGAACCCCGTGGCTTGACCTGGGACCTCCAACACCTGGAAGAAGCCCAGTTCCTAACGACCTTTGACCCTGCTGTGTTCATCACTGCCTGGCACCTGTTGAACACATCAGAGAGCTCTGCTAGTCACATAGAGACTTTCAACATGAGGTCAACAGGTTGTGAGAGAAAGAATCTTTGGTTCACTTCTCAAATGTCACAACTTAAATTCAAGTGATATGTCATATTCAGTATATCCAAATGAAATATATCAAGTCTAATATGCAGTGTAATGACATTCCAGAATAAACTGCTATAGATCAAAGCTTCATCTGCGAACAGATAAATCATTACACAGAACAAATCCTTTTCTTTTCTTTTCAAGGCAGACAGAAGGTGGCAGTCCTTCCACATAGCTTCATGATACATATTGTTTCAAAGCAGCTTTAAAGGAGATGCATGTTTCTATATATTACAATTAAGAGTTGTTGTTTTTTTTAATGTTTTGTATATTTAGTTGGCATTTAGGCATCATCTCCTCTCAGGTTATTGGGTCATCCAAAGTCTTCATAAGAGTCTGGATCCAAACTGGAGCTTGTGCTAGTTATCAAAGGATGTGCATCCCGAGGTAGAAATGAAAAGCAAATAGTGAATAATTAGCGTATAGCTGCTGTTCATAACATTTCAAGCAAAGAATAATCATCCATTTGATCAGATTTAACTGGAGTGCAAGGTTATGAGATACATTATTTGAATGCTTGTCTATAGAGACGTGTCTTTAATCTAGATTTAAAACAGGAGAGTGTGTCTGAGCCCCAAACATTTTTGGAGGTAAAAAGCTCTACCTCCTTTAGTGGACTTTTGCTATGTACTACCAAAAGTCCAAAGTTTTGCAGCCTTAAAAAGCATGATGGGTTATAGCCAGGATACAATTTACACAATGGCCTTCAGTGGGGTCAGTATATGTAAGAAATAATTGAAGACAGGCTGTTTAATTATTAGAAAATAATGCACACCTATGGTGATGATACTGATTTAGATTAACAGTATTAAAGAAGGCAAATGTTATCACTCAACTGAAATGTGTATATGCATGTTAAACACTTATATTATGTTCTTGTTCCGTCCATGCAAAAAAAAAAAAAAAAAAAATGCAGGCTCCTAAATGAGCAGTTTTATATTGTATTTTATAATGTATTTAATTCAGAGGACCTCAGATGATGTCAACCTTCAAACAACATACAAAACTACCACATTTTGCTATAAGTTTAATCGCAACATATAATCATTGCAGTTAATAGTGTTCACCATCTGTTTGATTACAGGTCATTAACTAACTGCATGAATTTTACTGTACATTTCTGTCATATGGACATCAACTTGACATAGTCGCCACTGATAAGCTACTACCAAATATAAGGTAGAAACTTTAAAATAGAAACTTAAATTTTCTGTAAAGCTGCTTTGCAACAATTTGTATCATGAAAAGCGCTATACAAATACACTTGAATTGAACTGAATTGAATTGCTCAGGAAATGTTAATGGTATGATCCATTTCAGGGGTGGCCAAACTTACTTTTTAAAATATGTCAGACCTAGAAATGTATCATCATATTTACAGGTAAAACATTGCCTTTGTGTTTTGATGTGATTCAGGGGGATCATTCCTTTCTTTAGGGGGCCCCCATTATTCACACCCTGGTTGTAGCGTGATGTAGACTCATGACATACACAGGAGCAATTTAGTGCCTTATAATTAGCAATATTTTGTAATCAATACAGCACTACAGTGGTGGACAAAATTATTAGAACACTAGGATTTTCACCAGATAAAAAAATGGTTTTAAGTCAGTTACACCCCCCAGCTTTTAATACATTGTGTTGCCTTCTTGAGCATCAGTAGATGTTTTCACCTTATATAATAGTTATGTATGAGTCCCCCAGTTGTCCTCCATGTGAAAAGATGGATCTCAAAATCATACAGTTACTGTTGGAAAGGTTTCAAATATGCAGAAAATGCTGGTAAACCAAAGAACGTGCAGGAGCTGGAGGATTTTTCTGAAGAACAGCAGGCAGTTGAACTGCTCAGGACAAACAAGGGACTCATGAACAACTATCACAAAACAGAAAGACAGTTTGTGGATCATCCAGGAAACGACACACAAATTTAAGATTCAAGGGTATGTAAACTTTTGAACGGGGTCATTTTTATAAATTCAGATATTATTTTGTCTTGTGGAGAATATATAAACATCTGTTATGTGAAATAGCTTATTCAGGACAGTATTAAATAAACAATAACATGCAATTTTCATGATCCCTCTTTTTTTTTATTATTATTCACAATTTGCATATTCTGCAAGGGGCATGTAAATTTATGAGCACAACTGTATTTCTATCTTTTGTTGTAGTGTGTCAGAAATATCAGTTTGCATTTCCAAACATTCATTTTGCCATTAATTGTAATAATCCAGTAAGACTTTTGTTTGCAAATGTAGAGATTGTCAATGTAGCCAATGTAAAGATTGTAAAATTAGGGTGATATGATCATATTTTCTTGCCCTTTTAAGAACTGCATTTTGGACTGTAGCATGTTTATTGAAGATGCAGGACAACCACCTAGCAGTGTATTACAATAGTCCAGTCTAGAGGTCATGAATGAAGAAAAATGTCATACAGATTTGGAACGACATTGTGAGTAAATTATGACAGCATTTTCATTTTAATCTATACAACAGTTTGGTCCTCAAATCCGATTGACCAATATCTCTGTATCACTCTGCCTGTCTATTGCCAACTACTATGTGTCACTCACAGATGACACAACTATTTTCATTGGTGAAGCTTAAAGAACTGGTAATATTGTGTCTAAAATGTAAGTTACTCAACATCGACTTCTTGTTGTTTGAACTGTTGTAAAGCAATGTCACACTTGCAAGCATGTTGTGATTCGGCCAAAGGTGAGAGGCCACAGGAACAACACTTGCTTATGTGATATATCCCCCTGTAGTAAAAATCAAGTTTTTTATGTTGTTTATTTGTCTATGTGGTGATTTTAATATGCTTTTAGACAACCCATGTGCCAATCCATTAATCAACACCATTGCTGAGTATTTTCTCCTTAAAACTGTAATTTCCCAATGGCAGTCCCAGAAATGCGGTTTGAAACAGTCCTCGGTTTGCTACGTCACAATCCAATAACCAATCACTTCAAGAGATCGATTCCTATCACTAGCATGCAAAATATACCAATACCAGCACAAAACCAAAAATAAATTAGAGCACAAAACCCATGAAGCCGTGGTTTAATGTGAATTTAGAACCGCTGACTTGCATTATAACCCGTGGCAACAGTGTAAAAGTAGCCCGGAGTCAGACCCACCTCTCCCGCATCGCGAATTAACAATCACAAACGGCTGCATTCAAGTCTTCAAGGCATTTTAGGACACAACATGGTCAAGTAAGTAACTTGAACGAATATTACAGTATTCACTGTAGTTGTCTGCTAGTAAAAACATAGTTTTATCAGTAATTATCTGTGTATGCCATTGTTTTGCGTTTACTACAGTTCAGTGGATCAGGAGGCGCTGGCTGGTGCGACTGAGTGGAGGCGGGACTAATTTGCATATTCATAGTTCAGCGTATAGTAAATGAGGCAAGGATGTGAAGTTACATTCAAGCTATTTTAAGGCATGAGAAATTTATTTTCACAAGAAAAACATTTAAATATGTCATTTTGATGATCAAAGATAAGTTTAAGGGATAAAGTATTTGACTACAGGGAGACTTTAAATCATTGGAACCAGCTTGTAATTTTCAAAAACGGCTCAGAAAGGTAGTTAGTTCTGACATTTTTTATATGTTGATATCTATGCAGTGAGATTAATTTAAGTATGTCTTAACTGTCCCAATACTTCTTGGTGTCAAGAAGAATATTTCTATAGAACATTTTGTTGTACTTTGTACAATGACTTCCATAAGTGACCTTCTGAAATCTAAGATCCATTTAAAATGATGTGGAGTTATTTGATGTACAAATAGTTAAATCATCTGGTGGTGTGAAGGGGGTGGGTGGCATCACATTAATCTTAGAACCACACACTGTGACAACCCAGGAGCTTAGCATCGCCTCTGCATGATAACACACTCGCTCAAGTACCAGGATTATGTTTAATTGTGTTATCACGATGAACAGACTCTGAGGTTTGGCGGAGAGTCAAAGGCAGATAATGCGTGCAGCGGTGCACTTGACAAATCCAAGAAGCTTTAACACAGTGAAATGCATCGCAAAACTGCTGCTCCTCTGCACCGACTGTGTCATTGTAAAGACTAAAAAAGGTGCTGTGGTTGAAATACCACATATGCTTTTATACCGTGCCATATGAGAAAGATTTGAGTTCTGCCTTAAGGGTGAGTCATCACGTGCAGTACTCTCATAATTAGCATGGTGCTCTGCCGCTTTTCATGTCTACACTTTTTGTAAAAAAAAAAAAAAAAAATGTAGAATTCACTCAAGGTTCATACTTGTTGGAGCTATATTACCCCTTGCGGGCTAAACAGTCATTTGTGCAACAAGTTTTTTGTTTGCGTGTGTTCAGGTGCCAGCAACAATGTCTTCTGTTTTGCATAATCTGTGTGTTTTGGACAACGTTGTTCTGTCATCGGCTAACTGGCTTCTTCGTTTGGTTCTAAAAAGAATAAATAAATAAATATGAAATGCTTTATTTTTCCTTAAAACTAAACAGACTTCCTTCTTAACTTAATTGTGTACTCATAAAATGTTTGCTTACATTTAATTATTTGTACCAGCTGTACCAGTGGTTTTAAACTTTGTACTGACACCTCCTATAGGTGGATGTATAAAGTCTATTTACTGCTGCTATTTCACAACAAAGCCGTTTGTTTATCAGGGTTGTGCACCATTTAGCATTGAATGGAGAATTATCTTTAAATTCCAATTTAATTCCAGAATTTGAAATGAGGTAGAATCGCTGATCTATATATAATGTTCTCTATTATAGATCAGTGGGTAGAATGCAGAATTATTATTTTTTTTTTAACTATAATATCAAATGACAGTTCTGAGATGTTGGCTTAACATGTTTGAAAGATAGGCTACAGTATGTTTGAAATGCCAGCTATAAAAATTTGTATTTAGTTTATTTAATTTGGTTTACATATTTCACTTCATTTCCTAGAATGCATTAACTGTTACATTTCTTTGAATTACAGTTCAGTAAATACCTTTATCTGTCATTCCTGATTTCAGATTTACTTTTGTATTCACACCTTTGTAAATTACGTTAATGAACTTAAAGCAATTCAATTTTCAACTCTGTCTTGTTCCTCTTTTCAGTATCACAGTACAAATATAATGCATTCAGTTTGGATTCTTTTTCCAAAAAACTTTTTTTTTTTTTTTTTTTACAACGCACTGCTAAATGCCTGCAGTGAACTCTCTTCCTGCAGCGAATGTGATGGACAGAGCCAATTTGCTGTGTGTCATGTGTTTTGCATTCATCATTGTTTTATTTTTTCCACTCTTACTGTTTGGACCACTGGATTGCACACATGCTAATCCCTGAAATCACTCTGGACTATGCTGCAGACTCTGGTATATTGTTTTTGTTATATTGTTTATATTGTTAATGCATTGTAAAACACCCTGTATAAAGTACACATATTATTATTTGTAACTAGTGAATTAACCCAGTGAACTGCATGACATGGCTGATCATGTGGTGTAAAGATGTCGGCACACATGAGGGGACGATCTGCTCCATGTAGAATAAAACAACCTTCTCTAAAAGACTGATTTAAAGTAAGTGTCTCAGGTCTGTGACCTTCTAAGGGTACCTTCTAATTGTGGAACTGCAGTGCATCTGCAAATTATTGTTTGATCTTAAACTAATTTTTGTGATTAAGAATATGTGTGAATCAATCAAAGCCAAAAAAGTGACACTGTAGTGATATATTATATGATAATATGTAGAACATGTTTACCACATATGTGCAGACATTATATGTATTGCAGATGGTGAACTTAACAGACTGCCCGACTTCATTTCCTTAAGTATTCACACAGTCACATCCCACCAGACAGAGTCCCCTTTCATCAGCACGCAGGTGACATGACCTGTCTACACTTGCACACAAACACACACAATTCCCATCTATTTGTCAGGGATTTATCAGGGACTGTCCTTTGTCACGTCTGGCACAAATGCATCTTCTGCTAGACAGAAAAACAGCTGTGAGGGAAGTGCTTTTCAATGTCTACTGAAAAAAAAGTTCTATGTCTAATTTGACTCGATATGATGCAGTTTAAAAGCCGTATCTATCAACACTTCTTCATTATTGGACTTCTCTTTGTAGTTTCTGATATAGCCATTCCCAACAGGTAAGTAGAAATTCTTTTTTATTTCACCAAGAAACTGTCTATTGTGGCTCTATAAGATCCATGCATGACTACAATATATTGATGTGAAATTTTAAGACTTAAAAAAAAAAAATCCTTCATCCACAAAAAAAGCTGTTTTCAGAGCTAAGTATATAATTTTCAAAACCTGTTAAAATGTGGCAATTAATACTTTACAATATATGTTTTCAATATATAAAGTATAGTTGATGATGATATCTGAATGTCTGTCCTCTTGATCCACACTGACTGATCTCAAAACATTAAAAGATAAAAACCTTTTGAGGTGAGGACAACTTTTTATCTATCTCTGCCAATATCGTTATTTCAGTGGTTAATTCTGAAGATACAGGCGCAAACAACAATTTATATTAAAATAAACGTTTTTATCTTTTCTACCCTACAACAACAACAATATAATAATAAAAAAATATTTTTTTATTTTTTCTACCCTCATATAGTGTTCTGTTCATAATTTTGAGCAGTCAAAAATACATTGCAGATAGTTGATTTTCATTTATAAAATGTTCTCAATCTTCTGTCAGACTGAAGACAAAGACAGACCCGTTAACAGAACAAAGGAAACCAGGGGTCTGTGCATTAGAGCCGTCTATGTCCTGCTGCTATGGATGGAGGAACGTTAATGGTGTCTGCCAACGTGAGCAATTTAATAATTCTACCTGTATTTTTGAGTCACAAGGCCTAATCATACCTTTAATTACAATTATGATGTAATTATTGGCTCATAGCAATATGTAAAAAGCCCTGTGAGAATGGATTCTGCGTTGGGCCTGATCGGTGCTCATGCATGAAGGGTTACAAGGGCAAAAACTGCAACGAAGGTAAGATTGATAATATAATGTTTAAAATAGCTCTGATTTTAAAAGGATGATATCATGAGAATGTGTTTTTTTTTTTAACAATAAGAGTGTAACGGTCAGAAGCTTGGTCTAAGGAGTCACAGTGGGATTAATAAAGAAGGAGTAGGACAGATTTTAGTGATACCAGATAATTTAATGATACCAGAATAACTATCAATAACATTAAAAGGTGGTAACATCTGCCAAAACATGCATTTTTATTAGCTGTGTGTAGCACCTACAGCGCTTCATATTCTAAAGAATCCCAACTTTGACTCAAGTTACCATTTTTTTATAAATTCCCTGTTAATTTTAGAGGATTTTGTTTTTTGTGCCAACATGTATGATATGACCTGATTGAAGTACTGAAAGTATAACAAAATGTGCTCAGGATCAACTGGGATGTGGTCTACAGATAAACACAGATTTTGTTTTTTTGTTACAGATGTCAACGAGTGTGGGCTACCTATAAGGCCTTGTTCCCACAGCTGCATGAACAATATTGGCAGTTACCGTTGTTTCTGCAATCATGGATACACGCTGGACACTGATGGCAAATCCTGCATCAGTAAGGCAATGCATAAGGCATCAAATTATCTTAGGTGAACCAAATGGTTGCCAAATTTGTGATAAGAGGGAAAGATACCCTTAATTCAGGCTCTATACATTTCCCATGTATCCAAACTGTTTTCCATTTTAGGTACTGTATTAGAATGTGTAAACATATGCATTATGGTTTTCCAAGCTTCCACATGTTTTTTCTCTTTTTTTCTCTCTCTCTCTCCAGAGAAATTGAACTGCAGCTCCCTTCGCTGTCAGTTTGGTTGCCCGATTGAGAGAGATGGTGAAATGGGCTGTTTGTGTCCTCCAGGGCTCTACTTGGCTCCAGATAACAGAACCTGCAAAGGTGATCCTGTATTCCCAGTGTTGCCTTATCCCTCCTTCCTTTGTGTTAAATTTAGTTTGAACCTCCAGTACATACATAATTGTTTAGCCTTTGCATTATGCATTAGACCTGTGTAAATTTAATGATTAAACCTATGGTCAGTGAGTCCTGCTAGGCCAATGATTGGATATATATAGTAAACAGCATAAATGGCACTGTTACAAAAATGTGCCATTTTTACCTGGGGCAAAATTTTCTAAGTGCACATTGTTGCTAGGTAAGGGATGGTGTAGGAATCAGCCTCCTTTGAACTGTCAGAACTGTTGGAGTGAGGTGAAGCAGCCTATGCCAAAAGATATCACTTTGGCATCCACTGAGAACAGGTGTGGAGACAGCTTCCCATGCAGCATACAGGGCATTTCAGCAACCCCCACATAGCAAGCTAATGGCTCCCACCTACAAGCCAGAAAGTCTGTCATTAACAAACCCTCAGCCTAAATGTTCATGATATTCTCCTCCAGCACAGGACATTCATCAGTTCGTTTGTCAGAAGATCTCTAAAGTTGTAGAGTGACCCTGTAGAAACAATATTAAGAAGACCTGATCCGAAAGAAATTTAGAAGGCAGGTCAAATTAAGTTGAATTTGTTAAAGATTTTTAAGCCTTTTCTATCACTGCAGAGTCACTTTAAAGCATATTTTGCTTTGTTCTTTTCATTACAGAAATTACTAGCCACTGTGTTTACAACCCTATAGATGACAGTCTAATGTAAAGGTCACAAATTAACATTGAGCAAGAGCAGCACAGCGTATGCACGTAAAGTTGCTGCAGACTTCCAGGGAGCCTTTAATTTACTTGCTTAAAGAGCATAAATATCTTCTGGGCTTTTTACCTTGTTGTTAACAGAGGTGCACATTTCAGTGGTTAAAGCAGTCACTTGTTGGCTTTTATCCCAGTGTAAGTGTTACAACGGGGTTGTATTTGTTTCGAGTCTGTTGGAATTCCTCAGCAAACGTTTTTGATTTTGTGTGTTGTTTGAACATTCAGACACTTTTCACATTTCCAGGTTTTTCAGAAGTGGAAGTCATCATAGTTGGGTAAAAGTTGGGTGAATGGAAATTAAATACAATTTCTGCATTCCCATTTGCTCAAATAGCAAAAGAAAAAAATCCATGATAGCATTTATAAAAAAAAGAGGAAAAACATATTGCGAGATTATGTTGGTCAGAAGAGAGAAAGATTTCCAATTTGTTGTCACTCTCTCAGCTGTTGTATTCACACAGTTACATTAACTAGTTTTATGTAATTTAATACCATGGTTGTAAAACACAAAGTACACTGTTATAAACATACATCAAAAGAAAAAAAAAAAACTGTGAAAATACATTATCACAGTCTGTGAAAAGAATCTATTGTTGTATTCATGTTGTCATATTACTGAACTGAACCACAGTGGCATGCAACTGAAATGCTAATTTTATCTTATGACAGTTTCTTATTGCATCCACTAAACAGTCTTGTCTTTTGTAGACATAAATGAGTGTGATGGTCTCTCCCACACCTGCACAGAGCGCCAGTCCTGCAGGAACACTTTTGGGAGTTTCATTTGTGTCTGTAAGGATAGATATGTCTTGGGAACACTTCAGGATGCAGTCACATGTCGAGGTATCCTTATCTACCAAGGCCTAAAGTCATTAAAGTTATTAAAAAATGGGCTGACTTTGAAATTGGTATTTTCAAAGTCATAATTTTAGAAAAATCGGATGATTTTGAAAAAAATAATATATATTAAAGGGGTCATATGATGTTGCTAAAAAGAACATTATTTTGTGTATTTGGTGTAATGAAATGTGTTTATGCGGTTTAAGGTTCAAAAAACACATTATTTTCCACATACTGTACATGATTGTTTCTCCTCTATGCCCCGCCTTTCTGAAACGCGTCGATTTTTACAAAGCTCATCGGC